TTAAATAAAGACATGTATAAAAATTACCGAAAGAAATTCTTCTTTTGTATATAAGAAGGAGACAGAGAAAGAACAGAAATATATATTTTCGTCATTGTCACATGTTTCTCACTAAATATGGACAAATGTTCTTATTTCTCCGTATTAGAAGGAGAGAAAAGAGAACGAGAAAGAATATTATTTTTGGCTTGCTTACACGTATAATCAAAATCATGTTTTGATACTAATGTTAAATCAAGATTAATCTTGATTTAACATTAGTATCAAAACATGATTTTGATTATACGTGTAAGCAAGCCAAAAATAATATTCTTTCTCGTTCTCTTTTCTCTCCTTCTAATACGGAGAAATAAGAACATTTGTCCATATTTAGTGAGAAACATGTGACAATGACGAAAATATATATTTCTGTTCTTTCTCTGTCTCCTTCTTATATACAAAAGAAGAATTTCTTTCGGTAATTTTTATACATGTCTTTATTTAATATAAACTTTTTTATTTTAAAGAAGAGAAATTGGTACAAGAACAAAATCGCAACTGTTGTTGCATTATACCGCTCAATGCACTATTCTATCAGAAAATTAAAAAGATAAGGACAAAGAGAAGACAGAAAAGAGAGATAAGCTAACTAAAAGAAACAAAAGGATGAAAAACATGATTCGTCTTACAGTCAATGTGAAGGATATAGAGAAATGAGGGAGTGTGGTTTTAGATGACATTAACGATGGATCTGTGTATGTGTGTGTATATATATATATACATCAATATTCAGATCTTTTAACTATACGTTTTTTTATTTATTTATGAGCAGAGAGATATCTTCTATAGTATAATAGGTGATTTGAAAAAAAGAGGGATAGAAAGGTATTCAGAGCTTAACTGAATCGTTCTGTGTCCAATATATATGAGCAAGCCGCTTGATAGATTACAAATATTTTATTTTTATCTTCTATATTTCCACGCAATAAAAGAGTTCCAACATCAGCCACTATCACATTGTCTTCAAGCGTTTGAAGTAGTTTACTTCTCTGTTGGTCATAAGCAGGACATTCAAGAAAATAATGTTTAGGATCTTCTACACTATTGGTAGAACACTGTTGGCACATTCTATTCACATAAAACAACTGTGAAACTGTTAACCATCCTAAATCCTTCAAGACCTTATCTGCTGACGACCCTCGCATAGTACCTGCATAGGTACCTACATAATTAAAGTTGGCAACTATAAAAGTTTTGTATATATAATCTAACGCTCCACGAGACAAAGTCCATTTTAACAAACGCATGTAATTCTGAATAGTCTGTATCTTACCTAGTATAAAATTAACATGCGCATCCCATGAGAGACTGGAACTCAAATAGATTCCCAAATGTTTATGAATTGATACCTCCTAAACACATTTGTCTTCAATTTTAAGTGGAGCTAAAATAAAAATTTTCGGTAGTGCGCATTTATAAAAAATCTGAGCTTCGCACTTAGTAATGTTTAGATCGATCAACCATGTTTTTCACCATAAGAAAACTTTTTCTAAATCAGCCTTTAAAAGTGAAGTGGTCTTATCAATTAAGGAATTATGTTAAAAAGGAGCGGCGTCATCTGCGAAGACTTTAAAAACGGATTAGTGTAGTGTGTGGTGTAGTGTAGTGTATTGTAGTGAGAAACATCTTACAATGACGAAAATATATACTTTTGTTCTCTAACTGTCACCTTCTTATATATAAAAGAAGAATTTCTTTCGGCAATTTTTATACATGACCTTTATTTCCTCTTTGGTTGCTGACCATCGGCTTGAGCCACCGTGAAACGCGTAAAGCCACGCTCGTTATTCTTCCTTCCTGTTTTCCACATGTCATTAGCACGCTTGTCTTGTTGTATAGATACTCACAGCCTACCTTCCCTCGCCCCTCCCCCCGCACAGTTCTACGTTTGCATTTTTATATTTTGAGAGATATTCCTCTCTAACCGTATTGATTTACACTCACTGAAACACCTCAAATGTTTCACGATGACCGTTTGTCTTTCAGATGAACAACGCACATCTATGCTGACTGTACGATATATTTGTTATGAGCGAACAATTTTATGCGAAGAAATGTGTTCAACAAATGTGTAATTCAGTAATAATGAAGATAGTTTAAGCGATTTTAAATAACTAAACTGAGCCGAGGCTCAAAGCTTTAACGTTTTGTAATAATAATTATCAGACCACGTCGATCTATATCCACAAACGAGCTCTACTTGCATCACACCAAAGATATCTACTTCGAAAGTATTTCACCTGTACTTTTATATTTTGACTACAGGTACCGTACTTTGGGCGTACTTCGTAGTCTGCTGTTTGCCCATTGATTTTGCGTTTTTCCATAAATACTTTCGAAGTTGATATCTTTGGTGTGGTGCAAGTAGCGCTCGTTTGTGGATATAGATCGACGTGGTCTGATAATTATTCCGATTTAACTTATATTCTCGTAGGGTGATGATGTTTTTATAACTTTTAGTATTCTTAGTATTCTTCTTTTTAGTATTCGTGTATTCTGGTTCAATATCAGGTAGTTCTATGAACATGAGTTTAACTCTTTTAACGGCTCTTCGTGAATTAGGTCACGGCGATGAGAAGATGCTGCGAGCATGCTTCGATGAAATGATGTCTAAAGCTACAGCGGATGATAATGAATATCTGCGCGAGATCGTTGATGTTCTTATCGAAACGAATTTCTCTTGTGTTCGGGTAATCGACCACCCAATCTTTATCCGTATTAGAAATACATTCGTCGATATTCTTCAAAAGCCCGTTGACGATTTTCGCTTATTATGTCGTATCGGTCAACTCTTTTCTCGAATGGCCGATCATGTCGACGACAAAAATATATATTTATTTCAAAAACTTTTCACGGATGCGACGATAATCCAATGCTTAAGCAGACAACTCAGCAGTGTATCGTTGACGTCACATGCGAACCTAATCAGTGGTATTGAACATATGATCGATGCATACCAAAAATTCCAGCGTGACCGTCCAGACATCCAAGACAATCCGATCCTTTCTTCACTAATAATGCCCATTGTTAACTTTGTCAAATCAGCAGAATATAAAGCATCATTTTTTGGATTATCTCCTAAACAAGACGAAGTTACAAGCTTTCAGAAGCTTATTCTCGTCACGTGTCCCAAATATATAGTATCATTTTGGTGTAAGCGTCAGGAAGAAGTTGCGCGCTCAGCAGCTGAAGAAACACTGAGCCGATCGTTGGAAATTTTACAACATTTTTTGCCGCTCATTGACGATTGGAAAGAATCGGTAATATGGTGTATGTTCTACCTGGTCTGGCTTTGCCAATATAGCTCTGATGACCGTCTTCTTTCCGATTACAGCGTAGAACACACGAAAATTCTTGACTATGTACTAGAAATAGTCCAAGGGAAAGAACTGTTGCATCTGGCGAGTCAGGAAACTACATCTAGTAGCCTTCAGAAACGGACCAGTCAACTTTTCTGTTATGCTACTTTGTACATATATGCTACGACATTTTTGCCTGAGCTCCGTCAAAAACTAAAAGAACATAACATTACGCCAATCCTCCTCAGACTCACAAAGGTTAACTACGACAAAACTCAGTTTCATGCCTATCGTACACTAGCCGTCGTTCTCAGCGATAATGATATTAAACAACTGACGAATCCAAGTCAGATCACCGCTGTTTTCATAGCCTATCTGGAAAAATCTATGCATATTACTTCAACAAGACAACGTTTAGCGAATTTGCTTCTCAATCTGAAAAGTAAGTTATTTAATAATACTCCTTTGTTTAATGTTAGAATTATAAATGTTTGGCTGCACACGTTTATTAATTTCATTGTCTTTATTATTTTAAGAGTTCCATTCTTGCTGTAAAGTAGAATACTATTAGAAACGGCATTCTTACTAAACTCATGTATAAGGTTTTTTGTTGGATAAAGTATAACCTAAACAAAAAAGTTGATCTCAGGACTAGGGACGACACGTTTAACAGCGAGTGTCTGGGGAAATCGGACACACGTTGACGATTGATCATCTTCGATTTGTCTGAGGTATGTTTTTGACCTCACCGGGTACAGTATACACGCAAAGTTTCGGCTCTTCAGTACACTATGCTGGGATATGGCAATCGAAACATTCATACTAGTCATCGTAGTGAAACAAATGAAAATGAACAGTCAACAGCATCTTCAATACTGAGAAAACAGTAATTCAGTAACAATGAAGATAATTTAAGCGATATTAAATAATTAAACTGAGCCGAGGCTCAAAGCTTTAAGGTTTTGTATACGTCTAATCGATCCATAGACTAATTAGGCTTGTATAAACCAGTTTTTATGCCGATTCCATTCCATATCAGTTTATCGTTTTGTCTACTTATAAATAAATAAAAAAAAGAAGACCCTAATACTGCGAAATTAACTGACACGGAATCATTTTACTTTTAATTGAAAGTATGGACAACTTATCTTAAAGCCTGTTTACTTTACTGCAGGTCTCATTCAACATGATCAAATCAAAACAGAGTTTGTAAGACAAGCCAAAGGTCTTTCGCTTCTGATTCAGTGCACAACAGAATCTCAGTTCGATCCCGCAAAAGTGCAACTACCTGCCCTAGAAATTATCATGTCTTTGACATTCAACGATGAGGCCAAAACCTGCATTAAACAAAACAACAAATTTGTTCAATACGTACAAACAGTACTCTCAGCCTCGAGTACACGTGATTTGCAAAAAGTTGCCAATGGTATTCTCTGGCGACTATTTTCTAAGGACGGGAAGACTGAAGGTGAATTTCAGTACGATATTATGATATCGTATTCTCATAAAGACAAAGAAATATGCCATCGAATTCACAAAGCGCTGGTTGCCGATAAGTTTCGTGTATGGATTGATCTGGAAGAAATGCATGGCGCAATAATACAGGCGATGGCTCAGGCAATTGAACAATCACGTTACGTCCTAATATGTATCAGTGAGAATTACTACTTGAGTCCTTATTGTCAAGCTGAAGCGCAATATGCATTTGAAAAGCGACGTGGCTTGGTTCCACTCAGAGTACAGTCTGGCTACAAAGCCGAAGGATGGTTGGCTTTTATAACATCATGTAGAATTTATGTGGATTTTATGAAAATAGACTTTGATATCGCTTACACCCAGCTTGTGTCGGAATTTCATCAAAAAGAAGTCGATGGGAAAGGTTCCTCAGTGATCTCATCACGCTCAAACGTGACCGACGCACCAGTGGTGAGGTAAGCTCGATTTTTGAAGTAAGACAACCCTTGTTGTGAAAATTGCACGAAAACCTTAGGTTAACCGCGGTTAGCTTCATTGAAACCGTAGCAACACAGTATGAAAACCGATGGCCAATCGGACGAATCGTCGGTTTTTATGCTGTGTTGCTATGGTTTCGGCGGAACTAACCGCGGTTAGCCTACAGTTCTTTGAAAAATCAACGACACAGGGATAAGGAGATGAGCTTTTACATCTGCTGAAATATTACGCCAGACAAACTTCACAGAATAATCCAAACGTAGGAAGGACATCAATAAGTGAAACTCTAGGGATGAATAAGTGGCAAAAACTCTCTTCAGAAGATCACAAATAATCTCATGTGGCGCACAATGTTTAAACTATCGGCTGTTATTGATATTCTTATAGAGAATTTGGTCTCTTCACCACGCAGTGGTAGCACCATAAGTTTCCGAGAAAGTGAAAGCTGAAAAAAATCACCAAATTGAACTGTTCTCGAAGACTCACATGGCACGTCAGCCAATTCCACAAGCTCTTTCTTCTCCTGATTTTAGAAACGAGCGTACTGTCTACTCTTACCCGACTGATGTTCTTCAATGGACTCCGTCTAATGTCCGTGATTTTCTACTCGACAAGCAGCTTGATCAAATGGTGCCGGTATGTCAACTAATGGATGGGCAAGCATTTAAGGAATTGTACAAAATGTGCCGTATCAATTCTCCAGTCATGTTACAGACGCTTCGCTCAGAAACGATGGAACACTCTGCGCAGCTGTCGACAAATGTTTATTTGACATTTCTTCGCGAAATGAAGAACTTAATACCCGCAGAAAAGAGTAGTAGTATTAGATCTGGAACCCAAATTTGTACACTGGTATAAGCCGCTATGTGTTACAAAAAGTTCTTTAACTAGTACTCACCATCTAATAGATCTAATTTGTTTGAGTATTGCCAAATATAAACCAATGGGGTTTATAAAGTATGTTACTGAACAATCCACGCCCATCAGATGTAACTTGGCCATACATAATCATTGCTCTTGATACAACACCGTATGCAGTAATGCAAATAAATATAATATAGATGAATACTAATAAATCATGTAACTAAAACAAAAATTTTATTTAGTAAAATTAAGTTAAATACAATATTTTAACACCATGTTTTTTATCATAAAAGCTTTTGGACCAAGATATTTTAAAACAATAATAAACTTTAATGATTGTAAATACCGTAATTTAGGGTCAAATACCACCAAAAGTCTAGAAAAATCTTCATATATTTTATAGAAAATAAACGCCTGTTATTCGAATACCGTGCAACTGTGAATCAACTAACATTATGTCCAAAACCATATTTCAATAAAAGACCCAAATAAGATAACAAATAAAGTGATATGTAAAAATATTTTGATAATATGGCCATTAGAAATGATCCTGATCGACGCCATCTCTCTTACACTCGAGTACTGTATTGACATACTATCTGAAAAACACACAAAAAATCAATTAACAAATAGAAACATTTACAAAAATTTTTATACTTGACACATTTCTTCGCATAAAATTGTTAAAATAGTAACAATAATAAATATTTCTGTCCAATGTAGCTGACTGTTTGTCATCGATGGAGAATCAAATTAATACAAGGTGTCAAGTGTAAAGATGAACATACATTTATACATACATTTATATTAAACACACATACCAACAAAAGTATCCAATTGTTCCGGATCTGGCTACTGTTCATCTTTACACTTGACACCTTGTATCAATTTGATTCTCCATCGATGACAAACAGTCAGCTACATTGGACAGAAATATTATTATTGTTACTATTTTAACAATTTCTGATATGGAATGGAGTCGGCATAGAAACTTGTTTATACAAGCCTAATTGGTCTATGAATGGATTAGGCGTATGCAAAACGTTAAATCTTTGAGCCTCGGCTCAGTTTAATTAACAGCTTCACAGTTATGTGAATAGAATGTGCCTATTCTACAAGATTCTTATGGGTTTTAGTCGTGTAAATCATTCGATCATTCGAGTACACGTTACCTAAAGCTCGCTAGTTTTTTAACCATTCTTTCTTTCCTACTGCTATTAAAGAATCGAACAGGCTCTCAACCGAACATCCATAATTTTCCGTTAGAATTCTTCCGACGAAGATGCGTCAGAAATTGAAAGATACGCTACTGGGTACGAGAATATCCATACCATCCATTGCTAATGAAAGAATGGAGGCTCTCTAGGGTTCAACTAATGTTAGATGAAGTGGAAACTGTAATTCTTCTTATTTCTTCATATACGGATATATATACAAAGTAGTATTGAAAAGTAGTCGCGTGTTCCGCTCTACTCCATATGTGACGTTTGAGAGCGTAGCATGAAAAAAATAGCATACACATAAATTTGGCTTTCCATATCGTCTGACTTGATCTAACCTCGATTAAAGTCTAAATATATAGATAGTATACATAACATATACAAGCAAGTTGTTTGCGCATTGCAATTTGATTGATTTTGTGATATCAATAAAATTGATTCTGTGATTGATTTTGTGCAAATATAACTCGATATTTTTGCTTACGATTTCGTGCTTGAGTTGACATTTTTTCGAACAATACCATTTGTTCTCTTCCATCTTTCTGTGTAAGATTAAATTATAAGGGTTCTATTGAAAAAATAAAAAATTATTCGTGTTCTAACTCCGTGAACAAACTCTTTCACTTGTTACGTCAAACTTTAACGGATTATACAATGGAGATATTCCAAAATGAAATGATTAAAATATGTGCACATACCAATTATGTTTATGCCAGTAGCTGTGTTTGGTAATATACCGGCAAGTACCTGTCCAAGTTGGCTGTTATTAGGCTTGATTTTTCATACAGTGATCCGTATGTGGTGATGGGATGGATATGCTCTTCTGTTTACTATCGCTATGGATTCGAGCATACAAACAAGTGTTGTCTTCCTATATCACAAAATCAATTCTCCATCATGGTGACGAACCCGAGAAGTATGTCCATCGTCAAACGCAAACTATTATGGAAATTTGCCGACTTATTAAATCCTTCTATAGATGAGTCTTTAAATACTATACTTCAAGAATACATATTAACATGTCGCATTGCTGTAAACGAGAAATTCAAATTTTGGATCACAAATTCCAATATGCAAACAACTTGCTTGTATATGTTATGTATACTATCTATATATTTAGACTTTAATCGAGGTTAGATCAAGTCAGACGATATGGAAAGCCAAATTTATGTGTATGCTATTTTTTTCATGCTACGCTCTCAAACGTCACATATGGAGTAGAGCGGAACACGCGACTACTTTTCAATACTACTTTGTATATATATCCGTATATGAAGAAATAAGAAGAATTACAGTTTCCACTTCATCTAACATTAGTTGAACCCTAAATGTATACATGGCTACAGGATGCCTGTATTAAATGTACATAAGCATAGGAACCTCGCGGTACACCGACAGAGACATAGTCAGTAAGAAATCGTTGAGCGTTTTTTCTGCGTTTCTGGAAAATCGAAGCGTGCCATCGACCCGAAGAATAAACTTTTGTGTTCTCAAAACAAAACAGACCTCTCTATATAAGATAAATGAAGAACGCATTTTCCTTCACTTTCTGAGTTCCGTGAAGCTTGAAGGATACTTTTTTCACCGTGTACAAGATCAGTTTTTACTTCTGTTTACCAGTGTTATATGTAGTAAAAGTTTCTTGATTATTTTCTATCTTGTCTACTTTATTTAAGGCTAGTTTCTAAATGCGGCCGAAATTTAAGCCAATTAGTATAAAAGTGGACGCAATTTGAAACGAGTATATTTGTATGATTCTGCGTTTCCAAATTGCGCCCACTTTTTAATTAGTGAGTAATCAACAATCGTAATTTAATATACAGTACATAAATTAGTCGCGTTTTAGAAAAAATAGAAGTAGAAACTTGCAGTGTGGGGGCAATCATTTCTCATTGGATGGAAATTGTCCTATGGTGCAAAAACACCGTCAAGAATTAAATAAAGAAGTGAAACAAGCCATCCGAAATGGTGATTTAAACTATAATACACATTTAGAACAAATAAAACAAGTAAAAAAATCAAATGAGTATCAATATGATGTAAATGCCTTTCCACCATTGATTAAAATGGACAGAAATATTGAAAATAGGTGGAATACACAAAAAACAGATAGTAGTAACAATACCAATAAAAATGAAGTAGCTGATGTGTTAAAGGAAATTAATAAAAATTTAGAAATGATGAACAAGAAATTAGATAATCAGAAAAGAACAATTGGAAGAAATGAAGGAAATATTAGATTAAATAAATTAGTCACATCAGAGTTATTGACCACAATGGCTAATCTAGTGGAAGAAGTGGTGCTGCCATTATTAAAGTTAGTGATGAAAGATGAAGCAGTAATGATTAAAAAAACAGAAGGTTATGCAAAAAGATTTATTAGTATGGAGGAAAATTTACGTCTAAACTATAAATTTGACATTGAAACGGAAACGGATGAAACAAACTACATAAACTCACCATCACTATCAGAAACAGTTAAAGTGAATCCGAACCCAGTAACAACATCATCAGTTATGGTAGTCGATGATGAAATAGAAACAGCCGAAAAGACCAGCACTTAAGTACCAGAGTAAGAAGTAAAATGAACCCATTAGCTCCCGTTTTTTTGCCTTCCTTTTTGAATAACTCATTAGAAATTGCTAAACAAAGAATGATTCATTGTAAAATACCTGAAAAAACACGAAATAATGTAACAGAACTTTTATTGGAGTGGTTTTCTAGTAGCACATTAGATAATATTCTGTGGGAATGGGAGTCTTTGGGGACAAGAAATAGTCGCTCATTTCCAAGTCAACATATTCCCTTAAATTTTCTTGTATTCAACGTACAAGGATGGGGTACTCGTTCACTAGAGGTAGTCGACTTAATTCACAGTAAGGATGTCTCTTTTTGTGTTTGCACAGAAGTAGGAGAGCTTTGGAAAAGTTTTAAAGTACCAGATTTTGTTACGTTCCGCCAAGAAGGGATTAATCATAGTGGCGGAGTTTGTGTAATAGTTGGAAAACATTTAAAAGCAACTAGAGTCGAAACAAATATTGCAAATACAGTAATTGTGGATATGGTGGGACTATCTGAATCCATTCGAGTGATCGGTATTTATTGGCCACACAGCCAAAAACGAGATTTAAATGATCTTTGTCCATATCTAATTAAAAATACGATAATATCCGGAGATTTTAATGCGACAGTAGCGGGTTGGGGAAAGAACCAAATAACGGACACTCGGGGACAAACTCTACAAAAATGGATTCAAAATAATAATTTTTCATTCATCCCAGGTACTTTTAACTCTTCTCGTAGATCTGAGCGTAACATTGACCTAACTTTTTCGAATTTTTCGGGAGTATTGGGTGAAACCTTAAGAGCAGGAACGAGTGATCACTGGCCTCTAGTTTGTACATCGACATATATTAGTTTTGAAATGTCGTCGCAGTTTCCAATAGTTAAATGGAAAGAATACGAAATTATTTTATGTCTCCTTCAAGACTTTTGGTTGGTAGAACTAAAAAAGTCCGCGCCCCTTGAGTGGTACAAAGACTATACCCGATTTTTGGTAGCCTTAAAAAATAGAGTGACATTTTATTTAGCAAAACAGAAGTTCAGACCGGCATTACCTAATCTTATACTGGAAAAATTAAAAGTGGTTAGAAAATTTCGAAACTTGTATTACCGGAATAGATATGAAAGAGACAGAATAATACTTCGACAGTTATCTAGGGAAGTAAAAAATGAAATTTACAAGTATAGATCTGTTAGGTGGAATACGTTTCTTAGTTCAATCCAAAAATACCACGAAAAAAAGATGAATCATCATTTTGGCCTTATCTCGCTCATATATATCGCTCAAAAGCCATTCCCTTCTCAAAATTGTTGGTAAATAAAGAGGTAGTTTCGGATGTTGCAAAAATATCTGATGAAATGTATAAATACTATAAAGAACAATTTAAAGAAGTCAAAATTAATAGCAATAAATTAGAGGAGGTCAAAATGTTAAAGGAATATAATGAAATCTTAGTAAAGTTAAAGACCTGTAATGAGCAAATCCTCCCAACCTCGTCACTAGAAATAAATAAATTTATTAGTAAATTAAAACCCAAGAAATCAGCAGGTTTAGATGAAATATCAAATTTTATGTTAAAGTTATTACCTCCGGGTTATATTGAGTGCTTATCTACCTGTTTTAACGAGTGGCTTAAAAATAGTTTTTTTCCTGAGGAGTGGAAGTTAGCAAAACTAGTTA